GAAAGCAAAGGCAGAGCTCGCATTGCAAGCCAGTGGGGTACATTTGGGCTGTAGCCTGGGCAGGGAGGGAAAGGTTTGCCATCACTGTTGCAATCATGGAAAATCAGCAAAGTACGTGCTGGGGTGCTAAAATCCATCCGGCATTTCCTTCACCGCACTTTTCTGTTGTCATTTAAGCAGATGCAACACTCTCTGCTGCCTTCTTTCCCGTTTAGGTGCTTCTGATCATAAGCGGAAACCTGAGTTTCCTCAACTGGCTAACCATCGTGCCCAGCATCGCCTGCTTCGACGACGCCAGCCTGGGGTTCCTCTTCAGCTCCCGGCGAGGAGGGGCGAAGGAGCGGGTGGTGCAGATGCAGCTCAAAGAGGCAGCCGGGGAGCAGCTTCCCCTGGGTGAGTTATTCCCAGAGAGGGGAAGATTTACACAGAGGTGTGTTTGGTGTGCTTAGCTCAAAAGCCGTCATTTCCTTCTGGAGCAGACCTGGGTGGGCAGGGAGGTGACATGGCTCCTGCGTGGTCTCCTGGGTGGGTTGCAGGGTGCGTGGGCAATGAGGGTGAGGCCCCCTGGTTCGTGAGGGGCTGCATCCGCAGCATCCGCAGCCAGTCCAGGCAGCTGCAGCTCTGACACCTCTGCTCCTGGCAGTCAGACCTCCTTGCTCTCACCCCTGTGAGCGTCAGACTCCAACCTGAAATAAGCAACAGGGAGGTGCATGGTTTATCTGGTGATTATTTTTTTTTTCACCTTTTTGTTTAATTTTGACTATTTAAGTCAAGGACAGAACACCCAGTGCAGTTTGAGGTGAGGATTTTGTGTTAGAAGTTGGGTGCAGACACAGGTCTCGTGTTTGCTCTCCTCTCTCCCCCCTGGCACGGTGGCCCTGTGACCCACCTGCCCTTTGCACCCTGGTTAAGTAGCTGGACATGAGATTGGTCTTCCAGAAAGAACCAAATCGATTGTTGATCCGTTGTGGGTCCAACAACTCTTTCACTAGCCGGGAAAGACACCTGGCTGCTGGGAAAGTGGCCGTTCCCCGTTCAGTGTCCTGCTTGGAGAAGGCAAGAGGAGCAGCTGGGAGCACGGGCACTGTCACGACAGGGAGTGAGTTCCCCAAAGCAGGGAGGAGGTGAACTGATGTTCATAGCATGACTATGGAAAAGCAAATACAAGGAGTTTTGTAACTGAAGAAAAGGGATCAATGTGGCTGATATTTCCTTCTGAAGGGAGTTTTCAAGCAGCCCTGTTCCAGAAGATTGCCTGCACAAGCAACACTGGGATATTTTTCACGGGGCTGCATAACAGATGTAGAGCTGTGTTTGTAGCATTTTTATAAACCACATATAAGCAACAAATTGCCTATAATATCAACAACAATCACAGATGCTCACTTTTAAATATACTAAACATATGTCAGAAGAATGAGAAATGTCAACAAGATACAGCATCTGTCTCTAGTCCTTTCTCATCTACCAAGAAACACAGCTTATTAACCAGAAGTATTAGTTCCAGCAAGGCTAATGCAGTTTCATTAAACTTTCTGTGTCTCCTGCCTTACATATTTTGCTGGAAGAAATCTTGAACAGCTTTTCCCCTCCGGTAGCTTTGCTTTAGAGGCTGTGAGAGCCTAGAGCTGTCCTACCAACTGTATTTTTGCATCCAGTCCCAAACAACACTCAAGTTGCACCTTCCTTTCTGGAGGAGAAGCGAAAGGGCTCCTCTTTGCTATGGCCCTCGGTGGGTCACTGTGAGGGGCAAGTAGATCATTTTTTTGAGGAACTTGCTCCTTTTCTGTGATGTTCTCCAGAAAACCTTACTGAGGCAGGGTGCCCAAGCAAGGAGAACCATCTGTACATACCACTGCTCTGCAGTGTAGATGTGTCCCTGTTCTGGGCTTTTAAAAAGGGGTAATCCATAAGGAAAGGGTAGGGTATCTGTAATATTCTGGGTGAATTTGGATTTCTGCATATTTTTACTGCTAAGAAGGCAGAGGCAGTTGAGCTGGTGCTGATGGGCTGTGTGGCAACAGGCTTAGAGGAGCCCTCACCCCTGGGTCACCAGAGCAGAAGACAGGAGGGTACCCAGCCATGCCCTGCTCGTGACCTGATTTTACAAGGCTCTGGCCACATCCTTGAAGCGTGTGTGTGTGTAATTCCTACTGAGACCTCAAATTCCCATTGCTAGTGCTCAGCTCCTGCCTGCTCGATCCAAATCCCATTGGCTCATGTCCTATGCTCCTTCCCCAAGTTTTGCTCCATCCTTGCCATGTAGATTTTTTTTTTCTCCTTGCGTGAAACCCTTTTTCTCTGTGACTGAGCAGCTGTGACCCCAAGGGCGTGATGATGATCACGACCTGCTGAAGGACGAGCAGTCCGTGCAGTGCCATAAGCTGTGACCTGAGGAGCCACTGATGCTGCCCGTATGGTGGAGGGTTCTGTGTCTGTACCTGCTCTTTAATTACAGGCTCGAAGTAATTCAGCCCATCTAAAAGACAAAAAAATGCCCCACAGACTCAAAACTGCTCTCGCAGCAGCCCAGGGGGCAAGGGGAGGCATCTCAGCGAGCTCCTTCCCAAATCAAATGATTCTCCAGAAATGTTCTCAGACTAAACAATTATTAATAGCTTCTGAGAGAGGTTCAAATAAACATCCCTCTCCTGCAGAGATAAGGGGAAAGCTACATGCAATTGCTTTGAATCTGATCCTTTGGCTGTTAACGTTAAATAAATTTAAAACGGCCATAAGGGTAGGAACCCCTCGGAGGTCAGGTCTGCTTATTTGTCTGATGGCAGTAGGTGTCTCCTTAGACTGAAGTCCAGCGCAGCCCTGTGCTGCTCCGCAAACCGAATCCCAAAGCGCTGGTGAAGCAACACGCGTCTCGCACATAAATGATAAGCAATGGAGATTTTGCAGAAGGAAAATGAGGTTTGAGTGGAGCTAGTGAGCGAGAGGGAGGAACATGCAAGAAGTAAGTCTGGGTGGTGAGAGCCTGGGGCAGCCACGGGCAGGAGCGGAGCTGGAAGCACTCCACGCACGGCTTACCAACCAGGAGGGCAATTTTGAGCAAGGTGCAAGTGCCAGCTGTGTTTTTTCCCCTGTATTAAAGCAATGATTAATCTTACATTTTAGACATTTTTCTTTTTAGCCCTTTCTCAGACTATTTAGAGACAGGCAGATCTCGGGAGCGATAGCGTATGGCCCTTGGCAAGGTCGGGCTGATTACAGCGGAGCCTTTGTCAGCCCCAGCCCGAGAGCCGCGAGCGGCTGTGAGCCCCCGGGCAGGGTCCTGGCTGCTGGGGGGGTTGGGCAGGGGAGCGAGGGGAGCAGAGCCCATCCCCGGCGGGGAAATCAACTTCTTCTGGTCTGCTTTTGTGTCCCGAACAGGCTGCTATGTCCGCAAAGTGGTGAACATCTCCTTTGGCCTCCTGATTGCTTATCTCAGCATCCCGGTTGTCCTAAACCTGCTCAACTCCAGACAAGTCATGAACACCTCGTTCAACCCTCTCAGAATAGTGAACACCTACGGAGCTTTCGGGAGGTACGCGTATTTTAATGGCACATGGTATAGCTCTGCTCCTCTCTCCAGTATAGTCCAGTCTGTGTGCCTTAAACCTAAACAGAAATCCTTCCAGTAACCGGTAGACTTGGAATACCTGTTTATGAGCAAGAAGGAGAAAAGGAGCAGGTTTCTTTCCCACTGAATTATAATTTATTTTCTTTGAGCCATTTTTAGTTAGCTCATTATATCGATGTAGCAAATGTAATAGCAGGATGAAAATATCCATAAGAGAGTTCATCCAGTGGATAGTCTTCACCATCACCAGCCCGCTTTATTTATGGTGAACTTCTCTTCCCCTGCGCACATTTGCTCTCCCTCATGTAAATATTCACATAAGCTATTGGGTAGCAGATTTTAGGCCAACAAAAGGAAGTGCTTTTTCCAGCGAGTGACTTGGGGGATTCATTGCTACAGGAAACTGTGGAGACGAAAGTATAAATGGCCTCAAAAAAGAACAAGACAGATTGAGAGGACAGGCCCAGCAGCAGTCTGCTCAGGAAATCCCGCTTACGGCTCCAAGGTGGGACTGGACAAAGGACATGTCTCCAGCTGCGTTGGTACCCGGGCTGTTTTTCAAGCATCTGAGTCTGGGTTTTTTGGGGTCACCAGGCTTGGGTGAGCCATGGTTGGGCTCACCGTAACCATTCTTGTCTGCTGTCTCTCCTGGCCTCTTCCAACCAAGAAAATGCTGAAAAACAGGGCTGTGTGAGAATAGCTTGCCCCAGGGGCAACAACAGGGCCAGTCTTCTCTGCGTGGACCTCTGGCTTTGCCACCACCTCGCCGTGGTGGCCGTGGGGTGTTCCCCAGAGGTCTGAGCAGAGAGGTGGGATGGGCAGCTCTTGGGTTAGCGGGCTCTGGACAAGGTCCCACAGGAGAAGCCAACAGTAATTAAATAGGTTTTATAAAAGGCGAAGCAGGTTGGCTGTTGAGAGGGCTGGCTGAGCGGACGGTGAAGGGGAGGAGCAGGTCTCACTGTGAGCACTGGAGATGCAGAGGACACCTGGAGCACATCAAATTAATATGATGTTTTCCCCAGTTTTTCAAACAGCAGAAATTTCTGCGGAAAGAAAAAAGTTAGAGAAAAACATGGTTAAAAATATCAGCGCTAGTTGTGGAAAATGCTGAAGTTTCTCCTTCTTTTGGAGAGAGGGAGAAATAACCCCTGAACCTCTTTGAAGGCTGGAGCGGTGAAGCTACGGGAGATTGTTTTCTTTGGGTTGTTGTTCTTTTTCTTCTTCAGTCTATGGTTTCTGTTTCAACAGTTACCAGAACCTAAAGAGCATGTGATGAAATGCTGGTGTAATATGTTTGTAATTCCAGCCTATGTAAACCAATAAAAAGAGGATTGCAGCTTATAATGAATATACGATTATGTGAAACTTGACATATTTTGAATCACACAGTAGGAACATACTTTTATTAGTAATTTGGTGTCCCTGATTTACAGTGTGTTTCTAACCATTGGGCAGGTGGCCACGGCTCATAACTCAGCCCAGTGTATAATATGGAACTTGGCTGGAGAATCCAGAAATCTATTAAATGTAGGTAACAATTATAAGCGGAGACGTACAGCATTCCTTGGGTTGTAAGCATCTATCACTGGAAGCCATCGGGGGAGAAGGTGGAGGCTGTGTGTTTCCAAACTTTTGGTTTCTTGGGTTGGAGGAGGAGATACCAAAGTAGTAAAAAATTAAAAGGGTGTTGGGAGCTGGACAAGTTTGATAGGCAGAGTTACGCAGTTATGTGTTCGTTATGGGAAACAGCTCTCCAGTGCAGGCGAGCATCACTGGCAGGTCATTGAGAACTCGATGACGGTGTCTTCACGTGGGCTTTCCGTGGCCTGGAGAGTTTGCCATCCCCACTGCTCTACCACCTTGCTGTGCAGAGAGAGTCCAGCCAAGCAGCAAAGGGAATACGCATGACCTCCCGTAAGGCTGGGGTGCTTTTGAACCAAGTTTCTATACATCAACTGGGTATTAGGGGCTTTTTTGTTTTCATTTTCTGCTTTTCTTGGCTTGGTTTGCATTGGCTCACATGTTACCTCCTCCTCTTGCTGAGTAATAGCTCCATGAGACCTGTCTTCCAGCCGGGATGGTGAAATGTTTGGGCGCGTAGAGACAGCTGTTAACGGTACCCCAAGAGTCAGCTCCTGGGGGGTGCTCCTTATGGGGCCAACCACCTCCCCAAGGCTCAGGCAGCCGCAGCCAGTTAACCTGGGCTCATTGCGAGTGTGTCCTGCCCTTTGCCAGGGCCAAGGTTCGAGCTGGGGCTCAGCACCCCGTGGCCAGCGGCGCTGCGGGGAGAGCCAGGCTCGCACAAGGGATGCTGGAGTGGTCCCAGGTGGACCCTGCTCTGCCCGTCCCGCAGCGGGAGGTCTCAGGGCCAGACCTGCGAAATGCAGAGGCAGGGGTGCTGTACGCAGTCGCTTGTGAATCTTCCCCTGCAGATATCGTCGGTGGCCCTGCCGTTAGGGCAGCCACACGTGCCAGTTATGAGCCTGTATTTTTGCACATGGCACATGCTAAAAACCTGGAGATGAAGCTATGTTTTGTGATGGTCTTTCATCTCCGCTTTCTTCTATCATCAGGAGCTTGTAGTCAGAGAGTTCTTGTGTCGTGGGAGTCATCAGAGTAACAGAAACAAAGGTTTTCTTCAGAAACATGGGACAAAGAGAGAAGTTGGTGCAGGTGGAAGATGCTGATGTGAGACTTGGGAGACACTCATTATATTCTCTCAATGTCTTGGACAAGTGTTAGGCTTTTATCTAGAAAGACAGACCCACCGATTTCAGTAGGGATCGTCTTTTTGGGCCGTAGTCCCTCGTTGGACTGCCACAACTGCGGTGTGATAGAGAGGAGCATGGGAGAGCATGGAAGTTGATGTTTTCCCTGTACTGTGCTGCTGGAGAGAGAAAAGTCTGCTGGACAGATGGGCTCTCTGTAGCTTGATCCGCCAGGATCCAGCTGTACCGTGAGGCCCTTGGCTCGTGTTGCCATGTTGACTCTCATGAACTAGCGTTTTACATGATTTGGGACAAAACCCAATATCATGTTGTATCCCACAGCATTACAAAGGAGAGAACAGAAGTCGTCCTTCAGGGGACGTCCAGCCTGGATCCCAATGACCCTGCTGCTGTCTGGGAGGAGTATGACTTCAAATGCAAGCCTGGGGACTTGAAGAGGAGGCCATGCTTTATCACCCCCTACCACTACCGCCTGGATTGGCTCATGTGGTTCGCTGCCTTCCAGGTACGTGCCTTTGAGTGTTCTCAGACTTGGGTGTCCCTTGACCAGGAAAAACAATTTATATGAATTTAGTATGTGTTGGGATGGGTGGGGGAATATTTGAAGCCTCAGCTAAGTTAATTATGTTTAAAAAAAAAAAAAAAAGGTGGTATTCCTAAAGGATGTCTGCTACTAGTGTAATGAGATTCTTGGAAATTTTATGTGAGGCTTTTTAATTGTTTCTCAGCAATAACAAGAGTTAAAGACCTTGAGAAAGCCCCTGGACTGCACCTGCCTCGCGAGGCGGTGGCATGGTGGGGCAGAAGCATCCCCAGCTGCCCACTCTGCCAGCCGGGTTGAGCCCCCGTCCCTGTTGGGGACAGCCCTGGGGACACCGGCGGTTGCTTCCACTGCCCACCTGCCTACATATGGACGTAGGGTCCCTCAAAATATTTTCCCAATGTGGTATCAGCAAATAGGTGACAACCATAAATTAAAAATGAGAAGGAGGGGGGAAACTTGTAAAATTAATTCGTGTATATCTTTTAGCCTATTCTGCAAAATGTTACTTGCGTGAGCATGAGAACTTGGACTGGGTTTTACAAAACTGGGGCTTACAGCAGGGGCGTGAGGCAAACCCATCTCAGATTATCACAGGCTTTTCTCTTTGTTCCCGTATCCTCTCCCGGCATATCCTCTTCCCTCGCTCCTCTCCCCCTGCCCCAAACTTCTCTGTTTGCTTTCTTTGTGGTATTTTCATTTAGGCGCCATTTGGATTCCTCAGCGATGACATAACCATCGCTCTTTGGCTATGGTTTTATATTTACCCCACTAGTTTTTGTGTGCTGGAATTTCATTTAATCTGTATTAGGTATGCTTATCCCTCAGCAAGACGACAGCAGAGATTAAAACTCAAGGCAGCAGCGGTGCCCAGCATTACATAAAGGTGCAGAAGGTTGGATGGGAGTTGTTGGTTTAAATCTGAGTGTATTTTGGGAGGAGAAATCCAGCTCACCTAAGCAAAGGTTGTTTCTGAGATGAGAGAAAGGCTGTTTGTTTCCAAGGTAGGAATGTCCCAAAGGCTTTAAAATACAAAGTGATCTCAGGTTTAAAGCCAAGGGAGGACAGGGCATAAGTAGTGATGCATCACAGGCGAGCGCGGGCTGCGCCAGTGCGGAGAGCCGCCATTACACCGGCTCCCCGCAGAGCCAGGCCGGGTGCTGAGTGACCGGGATGTACGGGACAGCCTGGGGAGGAGGAAGAAAAGCCTCGTCACGTCTTTATTGTTGGTGTTGCATTCTCTGAAGGGTTCCCCCAAGTGTTTCTGTTCCCCTGGGCACGGGGGGCTGCTGGGGTGCCTGCCAGCCAAGGCGTCTATCCCCACCAGCTGATTAGCAGCAATTAGCATTGTGGGTCTCCTTGCGCTGGCAGGAGGAGGGTGCGTGCCTCCCACTCGGGTGGGTGTGTGCCGGAGGTGGGCATCAGCCCTGGACCATGTCCATCATCTCCCTGGTACAGCGGCATGGGGTGAAAATGGGTCTGGTGCCCTTTCCCGGCTGTCCCAACCTGTGCATCCCGTGCCCTCCTGCCGCTGGGGACTTTCTCGTGCCCCCCCCCTGCGCACACAGGTCTCCGTGAAGCAATTTCAGATCCTGCTTAGAAGAGATATTAACGGAAGGTGCAGAAAGGAGAAAAAAAAACCTTCTGAAAAGTGGGGATGAATCTTGTTGAAAACAATAGGAAGGCAAGTAGCCTAGGCACAGCAGCAAGCATTTTCAAATCTGGATGTTAAGGCATGTAAATACCTGCTTAAGCATGGAAGTAAATCCCATTTGGAGTGGCCGACTGTTTCTTTGAAAACTGTGAGCTGTATGTTTGGTGCCAGCTGTCATCCCTGGGAAAGCTGGCTGTCCTGCCGTCTCTCCCCGCGCTGCCGCAGCCAGAAGTCACCGTCGTTCGGGTATTGTTTAGACTTGAGTCACGCAGAGCTGCAGAAAGGATGAGAAACCAGAAGTCGAAACCCCAGAAGAAATTTGTGAAGCCAGGCAAGTTTTGCAAACCCCATACAGTAGTTTACGGAGTCCATAAAACCAAGTTACTTCAGCCTCTGGATTAGATTTAATTTGTTTTTAAAAGTTCTGGGTTTTTTCTACACCACTGCTCACCGTCTGCCCCATCGCTTCCCGAGCCGGCGGCCGCAGGGCTGGTTTTGCAGTTTGTTGGCGGTGGCCAGGTAAGGAGCTGACATATCCAGCTCTGACAGGCTGCAGAAAAGCCGGGGACTTGGGGGAAAGATATTTACCATCCCTTTGTGCTGCTCGTGACAGGTTCCTCTTTGCACCTCATCACCGCTTGACATATGACGCCTTCCTCCGCTCGGGGTTTCCTGTGAAACTTTCCACCTTGGCTATAGCTGCAGGATTCACTTCGAAGAGCCGGAGCATGGGAGAGCCAGGCCCTTGGCACGGCTGGCACGGGCCAGCACGGCAGGGGAGCCACCGGCACGGCCCTGGTGCGGGAACGGGAGGAGCCGCAGTGCTGCTCCACCTCTGAATTGCAATTTAGTAGTTGGCTGCCTCTTAATTACCCTTCCAGTAGTGCCATAATTGTATGTAATGTAACATGGCATTATTTTCCAGGAAACAATTTTCGTGATGTTAATTTTATTATCTAAATATAATATGCCTTTTCACTTGTCTTCTAAATCCCCTCTTTGTTTTGTATGTCTCGACATCCCGAGGGTGCTGTAGCTCTGAATTGAAGCCCTTCATTTGGTTCTGGCAGGGACATAACCCATCCAGAAACATGTCTGCATTGCTCCTTCCCGTCTGCAGAAGGGGAAAGACTCCCACGAACCGGCAGCGGCGTGTGGAAATCCGTGAGACCCTTTTCAGTTGTTTCTCAGCAGTTGCCTCGGACGGGACCCCCTTCGCTCCGTCACCCAGCTGAGAACCTGTGTGCCAAGCAGACTGGGGTGGTCCCAACAAAAATAACGTGTCTGGTAGTCCAGAGCTGATGTTCAGGGGCTTGTTGCTAAGGTCGGTCACTCTGGATCACCCACCTCCATGGAAGCAATTTAAACCAAGGTCTGAGCCAACTTAATGCACATGCACGTTTTTAAGAGGAGCTACTGCTAATTGCGAAGAATGGCACGATGTGCTCATTGCATTTGCAGGTGCCACCAAGCTGTGAGCACAACGGAGGACAAGGTCTCGCTGGTTTTGGTCCCAGCAGACAGGAGAGGCGTGTGTGGTGCTGCAGATGGGCAGGACCCGTCCCCTGCCCCGGGACGGGATGGGGCAGAGCATCGTGCTCCGGGGAAGGCTCATGGGCTGAGCCTGCATCACAAGATGAGCGCACTTAGGAAAAGGCATTGTGAAAAGGCAAACACGATACCGTGACAGGCGAGCAGACGTTCGGCGTGCGTGGTGTCACCCTCCCACTACGCTCAGCCGAGCACCCAATTCGGGAAGGATGCGGCTGACTGGCAAGGGTGCAGAAGAGGGACCGGCAGAGAGGAGAGGTGCAGAACCCTCCTCCCACGGCAGCAGAGCGAGCTAATCTGCCTGGGCATCCCAGTGTCAAAACGAGTTTGGAAGAAGTGGAAACCTGCGGTCAAGGGGAGAGCAGCAATCTGTTTTCTGTGTCCCTGTGGAGAAGGGAGGAAATAATGGATGAAATGGCAGAATATGATTTAATCTCAGGAAAATTCAGGTTACGCATTCGGAAAAACTTTCACCCCTTGACACTTTATTGTGTTAGCGCAAAGACGTCCTGTTTTCACAGAAGCTAGAGACAAATTGTTAAAGCTTTGTCTCTCCTCCTGCTACTGATGGCAACACTCCTGTAATTATTTGACTTCTCGTTTATGGTGGGCATTTGTAGAAGGAGCCCAGCCATCACAACCCAGAACTGAGGTAGGCTGTGCCGCTGGTACAAAAAGCATGACAATTTTTGGCAGGCTGTGGGTGGATTCAGCATCATTAATAAACAGGAACCAGAAAACAAAATACCACTCATAGTTTTGGGGCTTCAAGTTGGTCACTTTTCCTGGTAGCGGGATGTTTTGGACTTTACAAAAGCCAGTTGTTTGTTGTACCAAAGATTTGTTCTTCACCAGTGGGCAGCAGTGGAAAGCCTTCAGTGCTCTGAATAAAGCAAAATGAAAGGGAAGGCTTTTCCCCTCCTTACTGTGGCATGAAGGTTATTTATGCTGTTCGGGGATGGCATTTGGCCAACGCGAAGGCACGCCTTGGTGCTTACCAAATAATAACTACTCAAAAAATAACAAAGCTAATGCTGTCTTCATATTGTTTTTGAAAGCCCAGTGTCTTGTTGTGTTGTACCTTGAAGCTGCTCCAGAAGTCTCTGTACGTGGGGACTGGCAGAGAAACCGCCCGGGCTGCTGGCCCGTGTCGCGTCGGCAAACCCACCGCAGAGCAGCCGTTGCGATGCACTGAGGAGCAATGTGTGTTTTCCAGATACGATGTGTAAGTTTGTAAATAAACTTCCTAGGAGAAGAGAGAAACTTCAGCGATGGGATTGATGCTCTGAGGATCTCCCCTGGGTGGTAACAGGGAGTCGTGATGGAGACTTCACGTTATCACACATGAATTGGAAGGGCTGAGAAAAAGTAACCCTATAAATAGAGAGGGCAGATTAATATTTTTGCGAGATATTTTATTCAAGCCTCTGCTATCTCAGTCTTCCAGCCAGAAGGTGCTTACAGGAAAAAGCTGCGTGGCAGCAGAATGGAGGAGGAGGTGTGTGTAACGTAATAAAATCTGAACCTCATGCGCAGTGTACTAAGCTCAGCCTTTTACATTTCCTTTCTTCCCCCTTCTAAAAATACAGGCCTCAGTTCACTTCCATTTTTCCATTGCAGCATTCATACATTTTGGTCCATGTTCAGCATGCAAGAATTTTATTTTCTTCTTTTAACTGTGATTAGTTGTCTCCCGGTGAATATGAATAATTTCAAACCCCCAAGCTGCATTTAGACAAACAGCAGGCTGGATCACGGG